GTCTGTTCTCACTTTAACAACATCTCATTGTAACAAACCTATAATTCAGTTCTCTGCAAAAGGTTTGAATAAACATCATATCATATTAGTATCATATTAAGTTCTTCTTAGGCATTCATGGTGTTTGCTTCCAGTCCTTTGTTAGAATTTCGTCTTCGCAAGGAGCACTTTTGGTTTTTTTTTTTTAAGAGGCACAAATTACCTATCTAGATGTAATCACGACCGTGAACGACCTCTTGGTAAAGTTGAACTTTCAGCTTTTCACGGTACGTCTTATTGGAATGATTTACATGATCTTTGGCGCTCGACTTTTCTTTGAAATGCCAAAGAGAGCTCAAGGAGAAGCCAACCGGCTGGGGAATAAAAAAATGACTCTTGGTAAACAACAGCCTCCCACGGGTTTTGTAGTTTCCTTATTAACCCTTCCTCTGGTCATCATCGAGATTATGCTTCTCTTCGCTTCGGTGAATCACAATATCACAGAGGAGCCACAGAGAAGCTTAGAAGACAAAGAGTGGCATTATGTTAACGCGGACAAGGCCGTTTTCTTTTTTCAAAAGATTTTCCAAGATGGTACGTATCTTATCAGTGGAACACTATCATTTCCCGTAGTAAAGAGGAGAATGTTCGGTTTTATTTTAGATTACTGTCTTTTTTCAAGTTCACCAAGTAGATAGACTCGCGATTAAATACAGACGACGACGTAGCTTTGAAAGGATTCAGTGCAGAATATGACGGCTGGTTTAATGTACTCACAATCCTCTAAACAGCACTGATAATAGATTATCTCTTAAAGTGTTAATTACTATTCCTTGAACATTCCGTTGAAGTTCAAAATCACATCGCAGACCCGGTTTATGGGAATGATAATGGCGCCGGTAATCAAGAAATGTCGCCTTGCAGTGAAATCAAAAGAGTTTACGGATTTGCTCTTGGCAGTTTCTGTCTCATAGTCCCTCTAGTCTGTGCTTTATATTTTGTGCCTGAATTAAATCTACCGGCATGGGTCAATATACCTGCTATTATTGTCAACATAGTAATTGTTGTTTGTTGAATCTGTCTCCTCTGGTACAAGGACTTGAGGGCCGATGCCAATCAATACAAAGAATCGTAAGTTGCTAAGATAGCGGTAAGTCTCTCTAAATTTATATGACAACCTAAAAAATCAATTTTTAATGAATATAGAAGGATAGCAACCTAAAAAACAAACGTAACATTCTCTTTGCGTCCTTGGCGTATGATAGTGTTCCGCAGATATAGATACGCACCTGCTTGAGTAACCTTCTGAACAAGGAAAATAAGCTTATCTGTGTTAGTGAAAAGCTGTTGTATTTCTGTCAAACTTCTCCTACCCTTGTCTGTTTTCTTGGAACTCAAAGTTGCACATAGCAACACGATCTCGATGACCATCGGAGGACTGAACTGTTAATAACGGAACTACCAAACCCATGGAAGGCTTATGTCGACCCAGAGTCCCTTGATCGTCGTCTGGTACATGAAAAAAGATTTTAACACCGATAGGGGTAAAAATTATCTCAATCAGAGGGACCTTGGAAAGCCGGTTGTATTATCTGATCTACAGGTCATTTGCAATTTGCAATGCAGTTATGACGATTACAAGTGCTCCGCCAAGGATTCCAAGGAAGTACAATAGCCAGCAGAAGAGAGCAGAGAAACTTGGGATGCAATTTTTGTCTTGTTTACTACATCAGGGTCAGTGATACCATGAATTTTGTCTTCACCGAGGACTCCTTGCACACTAAAGGTATTAAGTTTTAGTACTTTTGGAAAGTGAATCCC